TCAGAGGTGCAGAGTATGTTTCTGCAAGAGAATGGATGAGGATCTGCTTTGAACTGCTTGAGTTACTAAAAGCTCACAAGAAAGCTATCCGAAGAGCCACAGTGAACACTTTTGGTTATATTGCAAAAGCCATTGGGTAAGTTGGTTTAATGCTCATCCACTTGTACACACAGTTACCTAACATATTGATGATTGTGAATTTTCTGGTGAGAAAATATTTGAACTTCTCTGTATTTAGTGTGTTAAATGCGTAGACTTGATTTTACTTGTTTTGTAGAAGGAGGAATACAGTCACCTATCCTTTGTTAACATAGGGCTGCACTTTTGACCTTAATTTGTGGGCTAGCAGGGCTAGAGACTAATTTGGTAGGAAGAGCTGTTTGTCTTGTGAATTTCTGATACTGTGAAATGCATTCAGACCCCCTCTGTATTCTTCCATAAACTCTGCTTTAAATAATATCTTTTCTTATTTTCCCCCAAATCAACACTTTTATTATTTTATTTTTAATTAAGTGACCAATTACTGACTTAATGTAGGTGCAGCAAGCAACCAAGGAATGCTCTAACTTCATTTATCTATACAGGACATGCCTTTCTCTGTGTGTATGGTCTTGTAGGAGTGTGTAATTACCTTTGAGATCAGCGCAGTAGAGGGGAGGCTACTGCTGTCCTCCAGAGTTTAAAAGAGGCAGAACAGAAAGCAGGGAAAAAAAGCTAAGTGTAGAGAAAGTAAAAAATACTGGTTATGAAAATAACATCATGCAGTTGCAAAAGCTGTTTTATTTTTATGGTTTATGTTGTTTACCAGTTATCTTAGTTTTTTTAAGGGTTAAGTCATGCTTTTCTGCAACTTGATATTTGAAGCTCAACTAATTTTGTCCAAATCTTCACTGAATGTGCATATTATCTCTCTTCCAGACCTCATGATGTATTGGCTACACTGCTAAATAACTTGAAAGTACAGGAAAGGCAGAACAGAGTATGTACTACAGTAGCAATTGCTATTGTAGCTGAAACATGCTCACCTTTCACAGTGCTGCCTGCACTCATGAATGAGTACAGAGTTCCAGAACTGAATGTCCAGAATGGTGTATTAAAATCTCTTTCCTTCCTGTTTGAATACATTGGAGAGATGGGAAAAGATTACATTTATGCTGTTACACCATTGCTTGAAGATGCTTTAATGGACAGGTGAGTGCACTTATTTTTATCTATGGTACAGTTAGCTGTAGTCATGTGTTTTAACTGTATAGGTGTGTCTTAATGATAGTGAGTAGCCACGTTGCCTTTGTTTGCTAAAGATCTTTGACCAGCAGAATTTGTATATACTCCTTTTTTGTAATACTTATGAAGATTAAAATAATACAAGCATCCTAAGTGAGTCAAGGCTTCTTACATTCAAACTGGTTTTGATTATTGCTATTGTTAGTGCTTCTGCTGTGTAATTAGAGCACAGTAATTTATCAGGAAACTCCATCTTTTTTATTTTACTGATTTTTATTACTCTGGTTCTTGCTGTCAGTAAATACGGGTTAAAAACATATATTAGTGCTTTCAAGAACAGTGTTACTGAAAAGAAATACTATGCTTGTCCAGTCATGTTGCATAACAGACCACTGTTCTCTTTGCAGGGATCTTGTACACAGACAGACTGCTAGTGCCGTGGTGCAGCATATGTCTCTTGGTGTTTATGGGTTCGGCTGTGAAGATTCTCTTAATCATTTGTTAAACTATGTGTGGCCAAATGTGTTTGAAACCTCTCCTCACGTCATTCAGGCAGTTATGGGGGCTCTGGAGGGCCTCAGAGTTGCTATTGGTCCCTGCAGAATGTTGCAGTATTGTTTACAGGTATGTCCTCACGCATGCTGGGATAGCAGATACAGCAGTTACTAGGCAGGACTTCTTTTCAGGAGACAAAAAAGTCAATTGAAGGTGATCTCCAGCAAGGGATGACAGTGTGGCTTTTCATCTTTTGAAAGTATTGGTTAAACAGGGTGTTCTGTACCAAAGATTTCAGTAATTTAAATAGTCAGTACACAGAGATTTTGGTATAGCAAGATAGCCAGTTACATTGAGGAACTTGCAGAGAAGTAGCTTATAATAGAAATTGGCTAAAATAGCCTCTGTCTGACTTGCAAGGTGGAAATGTCTCACTAATTTTGAGGACTGGGGAATAAATAAATAGTGCAAGGGGTTATGAGAACAAGTAAGGTAAATGAATGAGAGGATAGTCTTAATATTAAATCAGTGTTGTTATTAGCCAAGAAAAACAGCAAGGCATCTAAAACTCTCTGAGAGGGAAGCGCAAGAGAACAGTTCATTGGTCAGAATCTATACTGTTACATCAACACTAGTCAGCTTGTGTAAATGCATATGTGGCAGTAAAATCTGAAGGCTCCTTTTTTGTGTTACTGTACGTAACAGTTCTCTCTGCATTGGCTGAATCTAAACTTGCATAACAGTTGGGAAGCAAGGGTGAGTGTCATGCACGTCAGCATAGAGAACATGTGACAGCATTTTACTAATTATTTGCAGATAAAGAATTTCACTGTGTGGGGTCTGGGGGAGGCCTCAGCATAAAGGTACATCAGTAGGAAGGTGAAAGAAGTCTCTTGCGTAGCGTATTGTTTTTGCAAGTACTACTTTATATTTTTATTATACAGAACTGTGTTTTCTAGAATTTTCACATTCTGCTCATTTTTTTTAGGTTTAATAATGTTTTTTTCATGTATTCCTCTGTAGCTGTCTACATAAACCACAATTAGTAAAGCCAGAGATAAGACTCAGTTAAAACCAAATATACTGCAGTAGGTCTTAATTTTAAAGGGATACAAAACTAGACCTGCATTCAGTGGAATTTCTCCTTGCAGAAAAAGAAGAAAGTCTCTCTCTAAATAGTTCTTTGTTACAACTTGCTAGTTTAGATAGGCACAGAAATTGTGAATGATACATTTAGGGTACCTTTTTTGTTATAAGTGGTGCTAGTTACTGTAATGGCTTTTTAAAATGCTTGTTGTGTAAAACGTGATAAAACTCAATAGCAGAATTTAGACCTTATGATTTCAATGAATTTTGTTGTGTTCTGTTTTCTAGGGTTTGTTTCACCCTGCCAGGAAAGTCAGAGATGTTTATTGGAAGATCTATAATTCAATCTACATAGGATCACAGGATGCTCTGATAGCACATTATCCACGAATCTATAATGATGAAAAGAACACCTATATTCGTTATGAACTTGATTACATCTTATAATCTTCTTGTTCAGTTGTTTGTGTTTAATGCACAGCTGTTCTTCAATTAAATGCTTCAGATTTGATGATGTAATATTTTAAAATATTGGAGATCAGTCTAGAGCTGGTCAGAGGCAGAGCTAGGGTTCCAGTAGCATGATTTTTTAAATATGTCCTTGTTTTTTGATGTTAAACAGTTAAAGCCAGTAGTGACCAAGAAAAAACCAAGTGATTACAATGTACTGGAGGGATTTCATTTTGGATTCATCTTTATGAAGATTTAGATTTCATTCCTTGTGTTTAAAGGGGAAGTTTATTTGAGAAATAAACATTTGTGTATAAAAAATAATTTGTGTGTGGTTTTTGAACAGAGGGGCTTGTAAACAAAGTCCCTTTAGAATTAAGTATTTGTTCATGTAATAAATAGGTGGCATCAAACGTTTTAACCCTTTTTGTCATCCTCTAGCTTTTGAATAAATAAGAAAAACGTACAAACTGTAGTTAATGTGTGTATCTTTGTCATGCAATAATGTAGCTGTAGTCTGGCTGATGGCTGTAGTAGTGTCAGTTTATTGCCATGGAAGAAGTCATGTTTAGTTGCTTCTTGTTACTGCTTCATCTGCAGTACCCTGGTTGTGAAGCTGGAATAGCTTGTTAAGTTTTCAGGAGTTAAGCAGCTTATTGTAAACCACATGTGTAAAATCAGTTGCATGTTGATATAGTTAGCATGTCTTTCAGCATGTATGGCTGTATAAAAAGCAGAGTAATATTTATAGGCTGTGCTAGAATTCCTATGAAAATCTAGGAAATTAATGTCTCCAGCACCTGAGATGAAGCCATTTCTAAGCATGTGCTTGACATAGGAAATGCTTCAGCTTGAGATAAGTGTTTTATTTTGTCATTTGCTTTTTATCTTCTGTGCAAGTACTTAAAAAGGTCTTGCTACCTGACAGTAAACCGCATGAAACACCAGGTTAAATAATTTGGTAGTACTGTACATTATCGTAAGATAACGACAGGTAATAGTTGGCTGTCAGGCATGTTCTGAGAGTCCTTGATTCAAGTTGAGCAATTAAGTTGCGTCTTGCCAAGTTCAACTCAGTGTTGTTAGCAGACTTCTCTCTGCCGTTTTACATGAGATTCTTTAGCTGTTCAGTGTGTAAGAAAATTCCACCCTAACTTTCAAAGCCTAAGTTGTTGTTAGGCATTTGGGGTGGCACAGCAACAGGTCGGGACCCTTTCATTTATGAAGGTGCTAATTTGTAGGGAAATATAAAAAGTGACTTTTTCCAGCAGTGTGCTTCATTCTAAAATTTGTTAGGTGAAGACATGTGGAACTTCTTGAAGTCTTTATTGCTGAGCCGTTCCCTTGAGAGTAACATGCACATTCTGATCTATTTGTAGTGCTTAATAATATTGTTTGTATTACAGATAGCCTGCCATCTTCATTTCTCCAGTAGTCCTGCAAGATAGGAGCAAACAAGTGCTGATAGGGTAGAGGGCTGAGAAAAATCCAGTTTTGAAAGACTAGCCAAAAGAGGGCTCTGAAACAGGTAGGAACAGATGATGGCTCATGAATTCTAGTTGCACTTTAGCAAAATCATAAGGAATTCAAAGTGCAAAAATTGTCTAGTAAGGTAGAGGAGAGCAGTTTCAGCTTGTGCCCAGTTTTGTATCTTTCAAGCTCATCACTAGTTCTCAAAAGTGTTTTCAAAAGTCCTTTTGAGGAAGATACAGTTGATTTTTTTTTTTTCTTTCATGAGAAAGGGAAAAGGAACAGGCAAGTTTGAAATGGAATTGTACATAAAACTATCTTGTTCATCTTTGGGGTTTTTTTTGCTATCCCAAGTATCTGGTATGCAATCAGGTTTGAAACAGCAATACTGAAGCACAATTCCTCGTGCAGTCTCATCAGCAGGCCTTTTTTTCCCAAGACTTCTGTGGATTTGCAGAATTCTTGCCTAAAAAGGCCGTGTCTGGGTCATTGACTGATGTGACTTTCTAGGAGCCTACAGCAGCTCTTAAAAGAGTTTACCTATGTTATTTAGCAACCATACCAAGTTTTATTTGGCATGGACAGATTAAGGGGACAGTGTTTAAGAATACTGACTTCCATTTTTGTTCTGCCCAGGGGCAAAAAGTTCTGGGCAAGGAAGTGAAGTAACTCTAGATAGACTAATATGACATCCTTCCATCTGTAGACAACGTGTCTTTTCCAGTGCATTATAAGATCATTAATGAACAGGGAAGTTTTACACTGAGGTTATGGCTGGTGCTCGCCTGCAGTTTTCTGATTCTGGGCAACAAAGGTTTTAAGTGTGTAAATGAATGTAAAGATTGGGTCACTGCTATTTAAATTCCATTAATGAGTGATTAATTGTGCCATTAATATAAAAAAAAGGGACTAGGCTAAATGAACAAAAGATTTACTGTTTTGCTGCTTATTTATAAAATGGGAGACATGCAATTGAGAACTTCACCTTGCAACGGAATTACTATGTGTTTAGTAAATACAGGTACAAGCATAAAATCTGAGTGTTCAGAGAGTCTTTCAACTTCCTTATTTAGGTTTCTTTGTAAAGGGAACCAAGTGTTCCTTCCCATCTTCACACACACCCCGCTCCTGGATTTACGTACGGCTCCTACCTTTATCAGTGAATTGCAAAAGAAACTATAGACAACACTATCACTGACCGCACAATTCTTCTGAACAGGCTCATCCAGTATGCAGGATGAGGTGGAGGGATCTACAAGGAAAAACGTATGTGATTTTTGTATCTGTGTTTTAAATAGATTATAATGATGCATTTGAAAAAAACGTGGATTTAAGAGTGTGTTAAGCCATACTGCAGTAAGCAATACTACCTTGTGGCTTTTCACAGTTTAGAATATTTCATTTTCCAACTTACGTGATTCTTGATTATAATTGAGTTTTTTGGTTTGTCCTTTTTAATGGAAGGACAATGTAAGTACAAACAGCACAACAGTTGTATATACTTACATATCCTTACAGTCTGAACCATCGAAGTATGCCAATTTTACAGCTTGAGCTGATGGAGCTCAAATTGGCCAAGGCTAGGAGTTGCCCCTAAGGTATGCTGCTCTTAAAAGTTTGGAAGAAGTTTTTTGTGTGTTTTGTCTGAGCTGCTTTGAGAGCAGCAAAATACAACCTAGTGTTACCTCAATTTTGTGTTCACTCGTAGTTGGATTCATTTGCTTCTATACCTCTTGTCTCTTCTGACACAATTTCACAGACATACACCTCCTTCACTCCTACTCTTCTGATTAAGTTGTACCCACTTTGCTAACCTTATTTTTCCATGGAATCTATCTAATTTAATCTTCCGCCTCCTTCCCTGCATTGAAACCTGTACACGTCTCCCTCTGTATCAGACTTTGCCCCTGCATGTCTTGGCATAGCAACTGTGGTGGCAGTGTTTGTTGCACTTGCAACTGCATCTGTTCCCGGAGGCATGACCATCAGTCACTGCTGGAAAATCCTCACTGCTTCTGCTGCTCATACTGGAGCATGCCAGGTACAGGGGGGTCATGAAGAATACATCTGCCCAACTCACACTAACTTAATTGTTTTGGGATATATTAGGGAGTGCAATGTGCAGGTGTATCTATGCTGTCAAAGCTGATACTGGTCTTCCTTGTCCACCCTGAACTACACTGGTTGTCCCTCTACCACATAAGGTAGAGATGGAGCCTGTTCAGTGGCTTTTTACATTCAGTTTCTTGATCCTATGGTAGAGTCATTGTAGGAGTCAGATGGAGCTTGTCAAGATGTTCCTGTCAAGACCAGGAAATGGGATGTCAGAAGGTTACTAAAATGTTGGATTTTCTGTGATGCTGTTTTGTGTGAACCTCCAGAGGAAACACTGGAAAACTTAACTACAAAGCACAGCAGAACCTCAAGCCTGAGCTCCTGCGTGAGTTGAGGAATTCAAGCTCGTAAGTAAGGGCTTGCAAATAGCCCTGGCATGCATTGACAATTGTCATTACAGACATAAGACCCCGAGATTACTTAATGAGTGGTATTTTTTTCACAAGAAGTTTGATGCCCAGCATAAGGTCTTCAACAGAATCTTGGAGAATTACGCAGCAAATAATGGATGTGATGATTTTGAGGTAAGATTGCATGAAAGAGTCCCTAAAAGCTGGCAAAACAGACTTCCAGCATTTTGTTCTGCTCGCTGAAGGAATTCTGCTCTCTGAAAAAGGGGTTCATTATGAAGTAACCTCTAACATGTTAAGAAAGGCTGGAGCTTGGTATGATTGTCATAAACAGAATGGTCTAGGGCTAGGCACGTTAAGAATGTTTGCTATCACTGGCATACATTCTGTTCACTGGCTTGCTTGACAGACAAACCAAACCAAAGTGTTTTCCTTACCAATTTTGCATCCATGTGACTCCCAGAGATTGCACGATACAGGCGGGTTTTTTTCAGTTACTTTCCACAAATTTGACTTTTAAGGCCACTTTCATAAACCTTTTGGTGCACTGACTTGTGAAATCAAGTTTCAGACAGCATTGCATTGCATCGCATTACACTGGTTATTCTCCTATATGTTTTTCTCCAATCTAAGCAACATTTTCCCTCTATTTAAGCTGCTGTAATGAATACCCTCATTACTAATAGACTGGGGTGGGATGGGAAACAGCTTTCAAATATGTGGTTCTTCACTAGATGTGGGAAGTGTTGATGTATGAATGAAGTGATTGCCTGTACTTAATGTACATCTGTGAACAAACTGCAGAATCTCGCTCTTTGCCAGTTGGTTAGAAAGGGAGAGGTAAATGTGACTCTCTGATCCAGAGTATAAATCAGGGTGATGCTGCATGCTGGAGGGACTTGACTCTCACCAGTAGTAGCTGGAGTAGAATTCTGCTGGCCCTAGCCTGCAGTGTTGGCTTTCCCTCTGGCCTCTGCAGTTTAAACTGCAGCCTTCCCTCTGCTCCCCTCCCAGCTGTGCCCCTTGAAACTCTGGTGGTGCTGTCCAAGGCCTCCCAGAAGCCTGGTTAAGACATCCAGCACACCACTGGGTGAGGAGTACCTCTTCTTTATGCAGTTATGTGCACTCCTAATGTAAGCCTCAGACCAAATGCTCTGGAAGTTACAAGTTGTTTTATGTTCAGGCAAAACAGCAACAAATGTTTGATGAATTGTAAGTGGGGGAGTGAACAAATGGACTTGATCTGTTTATCCCAAGACTGTATCTGATGAGTCTCAAGTCAATTACTGTGTCCCCTTTTGACAGCAATTGTTATTAGAGGAGACAGTTTGGCCACCATAATATCTAAGTCTTCCTTTCCACTGATAGATGAATTTTTCTTTGCTTTATTAGCAATCATCTTGACTGAGCTAGCTAATAAACTGATTCAGTGAGCTGTATAAGTCACCCCTCTTGCCCTGTTTCCTCTGTTGGCTTGTGTTTCTCGCTGAAGAATGCCAGCTTTGACCAGTCCTAATATACCAGTTTTTAACGTTAAAACCATACGTGACACAAGTCTTTGAATAGGCTAACTGGAGTGGGCTGGGCTGGGCTGGGCTGAGCCACTGTAGGGTGACAAGGGTCTGAGGTGAATTATTTCCAGCTTTTTCCTAGGTAACACTGGAAATAGTGACCTTCAATCCCTGCCTCTCATCCTGAATAGTAGAACAGAACTGTGTTCAGATACAGGGATTTTGCTTTGAAAGCCGTATGTTTTTGTCTCTGTTGAAGTCTAAGTCTCCAAGGATCTGCAGATCTTAAGCCCAGCTGATAAAAGGAATCGAACTGGCCATTTATTATTTTAGCTAATAAAAGAGTATATTGTATATTAGCTTTTTCACATTCCGAGGCACGAGCAGCAGAATGAAGGTTAAAGGCGTCTGATATTCACAATTAAAGAATGGAGCCTTTGTTTTTCACACAGTATGCAGCTGAGACAGAAGGAATATGCCAGGAAATGAAAACCAGGTGGCTTGGGTTTGAATTTTAAGACCAAAGAAATGACCTTCAAACAAAGACTATTTCCTCATTTAATAAAAATAAGTTAAATATATACAAAAACATTTAATTCTTCTCTACATGGCTTTGCAGATGTTTCTGTACATGTATTTTATATTTTCACAGAAAAAACATGATGATGAATATATTTATCTTAAACCCCCTGCTGGGGTACAGGTACAGGTTTTTGTAACACTGGGTTCGAAGCTAATTGTGGCAAGCTTGGAAGGTACATTATATTCAGTGAGAGCAGGCAGAAGTTTTTGTCTCACTGACATGTATATTCACTGACATTCAGTTGCATGCAAACATTACTGTTAATACTGCAGTAATCATGCTACCAGTTACATGATGCTGCCACTCTTGTGTCAGCACCTAAAAAAAAAACCCCAACTTCACCTTGACATCTAAAAAAGAAAGAAGTAAAATCAAGGGCATAATTGTTTCTTATCCTTCCCTGTTCATGATGATATTTATTGTAAAAGATGTAACCATGGTAACTTAAACTTAGTGTAAGGCATCTCTAAAATAGAATTATAAGTTACCATTTAACACAACTACCGTTTTGTTTCAGGTACAGCTTTCATTTAAAGCTTAGAAAACTAGAGACAGCACACCTTGCACATCAGCCTGGTTTTGTTCTCTTGAAAAGGGTGAATATGACTTTGTAGTGACAAGCTGTAGGGTCATTTTGTTACCCACACAGCAGTACAACTGTACCTGCCATTAATGCTCCACACAACCGTTGCCTCCTGCAGCAGCAGGCTCTATCATAGGCTGTGTTGTTTGCCCAGGTGAAGCATATCGGACCACAAGGGTGAAACTACTTCTCCAGCTGACTGGGGTCTCCGGCACAGGCCCCATTGCCATATGCTTTGCTGTGGCAAGCCGTTCATTTGCATGTTGTGACTCAAGAAGTATTCTCAGGTGGTAAGAGAAAAGCCTCTCTTGCAGCATTTTCCTCTTAGAAACTGAGCTTCCTGCTTGGCAGCTAAATTAAGGCTAGAGGTTCTTGTTGATATGGGTGTGTTTCCCTGTGTGATCTAGCACATCGTTAAACATGTTTGGCAGCTTGTAGGTGTTAAGGCAAAGTGTACCTTTTTCAAGTAGTTGATTCAAAGCCTGGTTTATCTTAATGTGATAGCATGTTTCCAAGAACAGTTTTTCTTGTCTGTGCTTACACTGTGCTTCAGGATGTTGTCTGAAACTTTCAGACATCTGCACACAGAGTATGATAGGCCTTAGTACAGAAGCTGACTAAGGTTCATGCATGAAACTCAACTTTCCCTGAGCTTTCTGCTGATTCTAATCTGGTATTGTACAGCAGATTTGAATGAGCTTCTTGACTTGCTATGTTTAATGAACAAGTCCATCTTTGTTCAAAATGCTTCCCTGCTAATCATCACTGCCCTTTGATTTTGTTGTTTTGGTGTAACATTGTAGTTGAATGTTCCTGCAGAGTTTTCAGGAGCAAAGATGTTTAATTACCAAATGCTGCCATATCATTTGCTCACTATTTTTAGGAAGTTACAATTAGGAATTGCATAAGCCTTTGCATGGCTTATATATTAAGGTCTTTCTCTGAATTACTCTCTGAAGATGGGAGACAAACTTACCAGTATTAATGATGCATCCTTTCTAGTATTAACACTTACTTGCCCATGTGCAAGTGAAAATGCATATCTGCTCCTGGGTGCAGCTTGGTTTTTCTCTTATGGCCAGTTATAATTTCTTTCTATACTACTTTGTACTGAGGTAATTCTTGGTGTTTCAATCATTGGAGATGGGCCTGCAGTACAAACTTCTTGGAGTTACTACATTTTCCTATGTTGGCTATTCGCTTGGTGTTAGAAATGCAAGTCTGCTGTTCATGACAGCTTGTCAGCCGCCAGCTCTACATCCTCCATGCTGATGTAATGCCATGTACCACAGTTGTACACCCTTCAAAAGTCTTTATTTTTCAGGCAGTGTGGGATATGCAGTGATTTAAAAACAAACAAAACACACAAAAAGTCCCCACACCACAACAAAACACACAATCCAGCCACCACCACATTTGCATTTTAGCTTGTTTGACTTGTGGTTGGGTTGCATCCATTTTGACTGGGCTATTTTTAATCACTTTCCACGCAAGGCTTAAAAAGCTTTCTCCAGTGTTAGAGAAGAGGCCTCGGGTAAGAGTCTTTGCTAGCGCTGCTCTGAGGGATGTCTATGTGGTACAGATACTGCCATTTGGGAGATGTTTTGAGACTTCCTGTGCAGTTCAGCTATCAAAGAACTTCCTGACACATCTGTTAAAGGTTTTACCTCTGTTCTTGCTTCCTTTGGTTTTCTCAGGGCCTGCTTGTTACCTGCCTCTGGAGTTTTGATGCTATGGATAGTGATACTTTTTTTTCCCCAAAGGAATTAATATGTATCGATTGCAATACTTCTGTTACCATTGATTTTATTTTTAACTTTTTATTTCAACTATGTTTAATGTGTTCATTGTCTCTATTGTTCTACTCATACTGTTTTCCTCTTTAACTGGATCATTTTCTTGTTATACCACATCCATATTTAAAGCCAACCCAAAACTTCAGGTATCCTAATCAAGGCAGTAGTCCTGAACTTTGCTTTAAGTACCCATTACCACTATGTTTAGCTCAAGTGTTTTCTTATTTAAGCCTGAATATATTTCCTGAGAATGTAGAGTTCAGGCCTGGGTCCTTGGTCCAGTGTTATGTAGAATAAGGGTCTTAATAAGTAAACAGCTTTGCTTTGCTGTTTTGATTTAGGGTTAAAACATGGAATTGTCTAGTACATCTTGTGTGTTGCCTTGTCAAAAGTTAGATTTATGTGCTTGAAATCAGGCAAGCATGGGTGTGAAGATGGATCAAGTGTGTAGTGATTAAAGCAGGGTATTGAGACTTCCTGCTCTGGCAAAAGGTGTGCTCCATGACTCCACGGCTAAGCTTTTCTGGAAAACGGGAGTTGTGACACCTAGGATCAACTCTTGGGAACCAGGCGGAGGGTACTCAAAGGGACCCTACAATAAATTAGAGGACAGTTGTTGGCTTCTTCCAAGAAGTGCTGTCAGAATAGAAGAGGCAATAGCTAAAGCACTGGTCCCAGAAAGAGGAGGAAAAAGTATTTGGCAAGCAAATAATTAATTTTATCTGCTGTTCTCTTGCGCTTTATCTGTGCACATCTTGTATGTAGTTATTATGTGAAGTTCTCTGTTTCATTTTAACTGCCATGTATCCCTGAAAGTTGGCACTTATACCCCAGTTTCTGAAAGGATGTGTCTGTGGGAAGAAGGCATTTATACTGGGGAAACAGTGGGCTTTTAGTGCTACTTTTAGGGCCTGCAGGAAGGAGTGCCAGCGTCTGGCCTCTGAGGAAACCAGGAGATGTAGGTCTGCAAGTCACAGCTGAGCTGGTAAATTCACTCTAAATCCCGTGAGAGTCACTTGAGGCCACCCAGCTCCCTGGGCTTGAGCTCCTGGGCTGTGCGCTGTGCCAGCGATGCTTGCGATCCCCTCCTCTTCCTTCTCCCGGTGATAAAGTGGATTGATCTGTTTTATTCCCCCTCATATCCGAGTCTAAGAAATACCACAATTTAGTAGCTGTTGAAAATTTAAACATTTACTTGCAGCTGGGGTAAATTATTGCAAGGCATGTTTAGAGTGTGGCTTGTCTCCAGCAGTCTACCCACAGGAAGACATCCGAGAGCCCAGCTGCTGCTATTTACTGTGGCAGAACAATGCTTCCCATCCTTCAGGAGGTAGGTTCCCTTTCCTTTCCAGGGCTTGACTGTGTCTCATCACTGTGGTAAGAATGCTTCTTGGTGTTTCTTTTTTCATATCAGCTAAACTTGGTTGCTGGAGTGAACTCGGGCCATCTGCCCTGATGCTGGAAAGGAAGAGTACAGCCTGCTCTCAGCTATCTTAAGCCGCTAGCAAATCAGCAGTGCGACATGAAGGACTTAGTAAGGAGTCTCACGCTGAATTGCAGGCTGTCGTGATTAAAACTGATCTGCCCCACTTGGCATACTGGTTCAAGATGTTGCTGTTTAGTGGGAGCACTCTAGTAATACAGGCATAGCTTTTCCTGCCTCTCTGACTGCATCCTCCTCCCCACTTCCACCTAAGTGGGTTTGAATCCATAACATACTGTTTAGAAAACTGGTTTCCTGCACAGTCAACACAAAGTCATGGAATCATTTAAATATTGTACTGAAATGTGTTGTTTCCTGAGCTAAAGGAACTGCAAAACCCACCAGGAAGCGCTGCATGATAGGGGTGTGATTTGCAATGTTATTTATTGTTAAGTATGAGTTACTAATGATGTGGCTGGTCAGCAGAGTTAAGATGTTAATGCATTATTAAACCAGTAGTACTGGTATACAAGAATAAATGTTTTTAATGCAAAGTAAGCAGTCAAAGAAGTCATCCTGATACACTCTCACAGTTTTGTTTTGAGAGATAGTGGAATGAGCTCTCACCTTGCCATTCAACGAAGGTGTAGGCTTAACATTTCTGAACTCCAGCATTCGTCTCCTGTACCCAAATAATGTCTGCTTAAGGCACTGTTTTTCTACCAGCAAGGTGTTTTCGTGTTCTCACTGTGCTCTGGGGTTTAGGAAATTAGAGGGGAGTAAGGCAGCTGTACCGTAAGCTTAGAAGCTCATTTTTGACCCACTTTATTCTTGTAGCTGTGTCTGTGATTATGTCTGGAGATGTTAATAGTGACATTATTTGGAGCACAGCCATTGACCCAGTCTGATCTTGCAAGAGGATTGGGGAAGACATCTGCACTCATGCAGAAGCTCACAAATGTCCTTGAGGCATCATGCAAATGCAAAGTCCATCTGTATGGGCTGAATCCATAGATTTTCCTCTTGCCACCAGGCACATGTGCTGAGCATTATTTATTCCATCCATTGCTAAGTCAAAATATTGTGCAGAACGCATGTGGTTTTGGCATTGTATATTCTTAACTATTGTATTTTGCATACATATAGGATACTTCATTATAAAAACAGAGCAGATATTCACATTGCATAAGCTTTAAAAGGCTTCTACAGTGAAAGACAAATCCATTTAAAAGGGATTTGGACAGCCTGCAACAGTTACTCAATCTCGAACTCATGACTTTCCACTCAGATGCCTTGTTCCAACTTGCATAAATAGAGGGCAGGTTCCTGGTTTCTTTGAGGGAAAGAAGGGTTGAGTTGGAAATGCTTCATATTTGGATCCTTTATTGTTTGTTTATTGAAGACTCTCAGCAGTTCTTAGCCCCAGAGGTTTTGGTAAAGAACATGCCAGATGAACTGATGTTGATGTTTAAGTCAGAGCAAGGTTGTCTGCTCTCCAAAAATCCAGTGCAAATAAAACCAGCCAACCACAGGATCTTTCTGTTCATGACACTTTCTGCATGGCCTTCACCAGTGTCAGTATGTGGGGACCTTCCTAGGATGCACTGTGCAGGCAGTGTGGCCATCAGCAGGTCACTGTAACTTCACCAGGCTCATTGCAGTTAAGGATGGCTTCCTGCCTCTCTACCCTGTTTCTCTCCAGTCACTATAGGGCTATAAGACACACTCCTGATCTAAAGAAGCAGGCTTTTTGTTTCCCTCCCAGGAACACAATGAGCCCATGTCAAAACAATCAGTTGTTCATTCTGATGAATGTATGTACTTATTAAAAACAAATTAACCTCCTAGAGAAATGGAACTTCCATCAAAATCTCACAAAATTCTCCTTCCATTACCTTGTTTGGAAATGAAAAGGGGTTGGAGTAGGGAATGCTTTGTTTTCTTTTTCTTTAGAAATATCCTTATTTGGCATCTGTAAAGCATTTACATTCCCTAGTTCTGGATCAAAGTCCTTTCATGGCTCATGTTACTTATTTCCTTCTTTAACTGAAGCACAGAAAGAAAAATGGATTTTTCCTCCTGAGGCTTACAGTATAAGCCATTGTGAAAAGTCAAATCCCACTTTTTAGCAAGGAAGTAGCAAGAATGAGGAATAAAACATCTCAAAATGTGTAATCTGAAGAACCACCACCACCCACTTCAGAATGAATGCTGTCAGTAAAGGCAAGTTTGTGCAGCAGTTAGGAAGTGTGTAAGGTAAAATCTAGTAAAACCAAACTAAGGTAACTGTGCTGCTGGATTTCCTTTGTTCCTCATAAGCCAAAGGTTTGTGCTCCTCACGGGAGGAACTTTGTCCTCTTCAGCCTGTGTAGTGGCTAGTGCAGTGGGCCAAGTACTGGGATACAAACAGCAGTTGGATCAGGTACCAGAAACATAAGAAAACACTTGTATTGCACAAGTGGCAGGATGAAACCTGGGTTTGGCAGAACTCTTTTCTGATAGAAGAAAAGGACTCCTGTGAATCAGCCATGACATCTGATCTTGTTTTATATTTGCAGGAGTTTGTAGATAGTTTTGTTTCTGAGTGCAGAACAAGCTCCTTTCAAGTCTGCCGCTCCCATTGATTCTGTGCCCCAAAGAGCTCCCTGTTTCTGCTTATTTTCAAAGCTCTGCTGGCTATTCCTCTGGCTTTCTGCCTTTTGTAGACACATGGAGCTGGGCCCCAGCACCCCCTTCAGTTTGCAGGCAAGCTTTTATGCTGTGGCCTATAACCATGAGTGTTGGCGCTCTGGTGTTTCTCAGTATTGCTACAGCAAAAGAGTATATAATGGCTCTTTCTGACTTGTCTTCTAGGAAGAATTTGGACATCTATTAGTTTTTAGCATGGCTTCTGATGATCCAACTAGTTTGAGGTAAGCTGGTACCATAATATATACATCTCTGTTCCTGTAGCTTTGTTCTCCTGAAAACAAATTGTAAATTTTCATCTGCTTTAGTGTATTCCTATATTTTAATTGGTTTCCTTCACACACCTTCAGTCTGCAAAGTTCTAGTCTAGTGCTCCCTTTCTGTAAGGGAACATACAATAATGCATAGCGGGTTTTATATTTACCCATAAGGCACCATGGACCGCAGACTGTTTAGGCTGATTTATTTCCATTAGCTTCCATCCAGAAGATCTGAACTTAATGCAGACTTAGAGCATTTCTCCAGAAATAACGTTACTGACACCCTCTGTCACATGGTTCTCCCTGCAGAGCTCTTTGCCACATAACTGCTGTGATGGAAGAGAAAAACCTGCCTTTGGATTATGAGCTAAACCCTAACATCAGTGAGAAAGCTACCACGGTGCTGCTCCCTCCTTGGTGGCAACTGCATGTTAGTCACTATGTGCTTCCACAGCCCTTCTAATTAAATATAACTTCAGGGATGGGATTTAGTTCTTCATGCGACTTGAAAAGTGAAATCTCTTGTTGGATTTTGGGCATTGGGGAAAATACAGTTGAATCTGGAGAAGGAATTTGCTAGCAGAACAGTCCCGAATCTTACCTGGGTCTTACAGTTGGCATTGGCCTCATTAGGTCCTGGCAGAGCCTCAGGCACAGGCCCTTTCTTCCTCTCTGCATGCTGAGAATGGATTGGAAAGGATTCCTGCCTAATTTATCCTGTGCAATGCTCCTTACTTCCAAGACAGCAGCCTTGGGCAATTGACCTGGTCTTTTCTTTCCAAACTTACTTTATTTTGCCTGATAGATTTCAACATTGCTGGCATGCATCTACTGGTGTCCCATCAGCTGTACCTAGTACTAGGCAGAAGTGAAGATTGTGCAGGTAGTGAGAAGTGAAAAGACCAAGGACATGAAATCTTCTTGTATTAAAGTAGTGATGATGCTGTAATGCAACTGAGATTAAACTTTGGTATTTTATATTAGTGGAGCAGTTCAATGAATATTATCTTGAGCATGAAAGTAAAAAAGACTTCAAAGCTAGGGATTACAAATAACTCATTGCTAATAGGTTGTTTAGGTGAAGTGAATGTATAAGAGGGGTTAATGTAGTGTCCATTCGAACTATCAATGATATTTTTCTAATGAGTATGACTTACTAGATAAATACAACTTGGACAATTACCTGATGTTGCCCTCAGAGGGGTACACAGGAAGTTTCAATGTAACAGGAATCCTACCCCCTGGAGACCATTTGCTGAATTCTTTAAAGGTCAGGCATACTTGCAAGTCAGTGGAAAAATGAGGATTTAGATAAAAAAGAATACCTCAAAGCTGGTGAATCACTTCAGACCGCATGTACTCAAAGATACTGCTTTTAAAGTCCAAAATCACTGCTGTCCTGAGTTGGGAGGGTGAGGGGGTAGAACTGAAATACTTTAAACTCATATATACTTATACCATGCACAAGGAAGCCCTAAGCATACTTTTCTTATGGCTTCTATTTTCTCTCCATGTTTCCCCTAGAAGATTAATGACAGGAGATTTAAGATTAATGATACAGGAGACTTAAGATATTTTATATACCCATAAATGGAATAGGGCTGAGAACAGAAAGTTTAAATACTGAACTTCCCTCTTGCTGACTTGGTTTTTCTTCCCCTTCATTTCTTTTTCTTGTTTTTGCAGTACCTTAGCACCAGTTGGTATAGAGTGTCTTATTTTGGAATGGAATCCAGACTCCACAGCCAGCAGTTCTGTAATGGGGTGAAGTGTCCATTGGGGTGATGGGGTTGTTGTGTGTTGGGGTTTTTAGGTTGTGGGCTTTTTTTATCTGTTGGAAAGCTTAAAGCACACTTGAATAGCTTGGTATTTTCCAGGAAGGAAGCATAGCAGATAAAAGTGAAAACACCAAACAAGCAGCAAAATGACCCAGATCTCTCTGGCCCTCTTTATGTGACAGAAGGCAGAAAAAAAGCATAGGCTGCTTCTTCCCCTTCATCCTGTCCTCACTGCATCATGTGAAACCTTGTCCAGAGCCCATGGAAATCGCCATGTCTTTCTACTGACTTACCTGGTTTCTAGATTGAGCACTGGGCTGTGTGACAAATTGCTGAAGATTTAGTTGCAGTCTCTTGTCAGGGATGGCAAAGATAGGTGTTTGCACATGCCCCTGACACACTGCTTACAGAGCTGAAGGGAGCCTCATTCTTACCACTGCCAACAAAATCTTCCTGTTTTGCAGAGATGCGTTTCTAGGCTGTTATAACCAGAAAGGAATTAACTCAGCTTAGCCTGCCCAGTTGTCATCTGCCTTAACACCTCCCCTTTCTTCCAAACCTGGTATGAATTACATGGACAACTGCAAGAGAGGTGCTAGCTAAGACCACCTGTAAGATCACCTTAACATATGGGGGAGTGTTTATTCCTTTTCTGTTAGCACAGCAGAAGGCTGCCGTAGTTATGATTTCAGCTTCAGATTCACAGTTTCCAATGGTGCCGTATGTCTGAGCCTCTGTGCATTAACTACAGGGCTGCAGATGTATAATCAGAAAGTATTTTAAAGGAGAGGAGGCCTGTGTCTGGATAAGATGAAGTGCTGTTAAGGTCTCCTCCCCTCTTTGTCCTTATCAATGGATGGATTCATGTTGTTTGATTCCTCCCTTACCTCCCAACTATTAAACAAGTAGATCTAGGAGGAGAAATAACTTAATCAAATAAAAAGAATCTCCCTTGGGGAAAAATAATACAATAAATTCCTCCTTCTGAAAGTAAATCATTCCAAAACAGAAGGGAGGACTTGGAGAGGGCAGCGATAGGCAGCTTGAAGTGCTTTCTGAGGTGACCACCTGCATCCCACCTCCTAATCACCCTGTGTGCTGTAGCGGTGCAGGAGGGAAAAGATGGTGCCAGCAATAATTAGTTACTGTCTCTGGTGTTTTGCTTGCCCAGCCTCCTGCTGTGGCTTGTGTTTGCCCTTCTATTTCGAATTCACACAGCTCTGTATGGTTTTGCTTGTTTCCACTGCTGCCGTCTCATAACGGTGCATATACATCACTCTAATCTGGCTCCCACTGAGTCTGTAAGGGGGAAAGAAAACACAGCAGGGTGGTTTTGTGTTGCTGTTAGAGGGTAGGCAACAGGTAGATACCAGTGACATGCTAGACATCTGAAGTCATCAGAAATGGTTCGATGATAAATGTAACTTCTGCTATCAGCCCTGTCTTCCACCCATGCTCAACAGTGGCAAATAAACACTATTCAGGAACACACTGACTGTATTTACTTTAGCTTTCTTCACGAGGCAGGAGCCAAACACATGTCTAGGAACAATTGCACCCTGCATCTGTGAGTGATCATCCTGCTTAAATACAGCAGCAGGTCTGACTTTGAAGAGCAAAACAGAGCCCTTCCCCCTGCCTCTGCTGCTCAGCTGTGCAGGCAGAGCAGGAGCAGGGAGGTGGTGCAGACGCTTGGCTGCCTTCTAGTGACCACATCCTGTTAGGCTGCGGAAACATCAACCTAATGCTGAGATCTGTCTGAGATGTAGGAGTGCTTGTGGGGATCCAGCAGATAATTTGCAGACATGTTTGTAGTGATGCAGGGAGAACTCCTAACCCTGCTCCTGCCCTTGGTCTGTTCACCCGCTTCCCCCCCATCCTGGTTCTCTGTAGCATTTAACTACAGTGCAAATGGATTTATTTCAGTGAGGTTTCTTTCTTTTCCTCTGCTGCAGCTCCCAGATGTTGTTTTCCTGATACTGCATGGGAAGACTTAACACTGAATCTGTGCTGGCTGAGTAATGGCCAGAGCAGCAGCCTTTACCTGGGATCTTTCCCCAGCTGTGTCAGGGTGCTGCACCTCACAGGGCAGGAGATTTGCCTTGTACAAGCAGGAAACCAGGCACTGTGAGACCAGCAGCACTGCGGCACGAGAGAGAGTTGATAGTGAGTTTCTTAAGCCCTAAGTCAGTGCCCAAACCTGGGCTTGCAATATTTCACCACGTGAAAACGGCATGTGAGAGTTTAGCAAAGGGCAGATTGCTTATGATGATGCCTAAGTTCTGTTGAAATCACGTGCTTAAATCTAAGCGTGCCTGGGAGTTCTGCTGAGCCCAAGTGGGTATGAGAATGCTAAGTGCTGACACAAAGTCTGGATGGGGAAGTGGCTCATGCACCTAAAACTGCTAATAGTAAATGGCGTTCATCCAGTTTCAGAGGGAACTGGAGGAACCTTGGTTTTGGCAGAGGCCTGTTACAGTGGGCTTGTGCTCTACAGAGCCCCATTGTGTTTTGGCCAGATCATGAAATCTCAGTATGGGCAACCGCAAATTATTTGGGGCAGTTCTGGTCCTCCTTGCTGTTAGTCAGAAAGTGCTAAAGTTCAAGGCTTCATATTTCCAGTTTTCTTTTTAAACTACTTAAAGGGGGAGTGGTGTTTGTGTTTCATAGAAGAGTTCCACCTGGATGCACAGAATCCTCTTAGGATCAGGCACGGGTCAGTAAGGAACAAATGCACCAGCCATCCTTAGAGAGTTTCTTTCCACTTCCCTGTCAGAGGCCCAGTGTAGTGCTGGGGGTTTTTCCTTTCCAAAACCAGCTTTAATTCAAGATGATGATATCTGGCAAGCTCAAGTGTATTTTCTTTAAAGCTCTTGCACACCTGTTTTGAAGGTATTTGTTACTGTCTCAGCTGAGGAAGTCAACATAATGCTGCAGGTCTGAGAGCTGCAGGTGTGACCATTACTTGAAATACTAGCTCTGGATCCTAATGTCTTTGTGCTTCCTCTTCCCCGGAAAGGCAATTGAGCATACCGCATCATTTCACATGAAAATGTGCTATGAAATTACTGTCAGTGTACTAGCCAGGGCTAAGGGGTTGTGGAGTAAAACAGCTCAGAAGAGAGAGTTAATTCTGCATGGTATACCAGGAACCTGTAACAGTGTTTTTTGTGCTGTTTTGTGAACAGGAGAGGAGGACACTGTACTTCCAGAGAAGCATTGGACTCCTTTACTTCGATGGTAATGATTGCAGCACTGTGACTAATCTTGGCAGTTCATGCAAAGGGCACTTTAATGAATAGTGTAAATACAGTTGTAAGGACCTCTCTAAACTGAGTGCTGCCCTGTCAATATGGGATGTGAACACTTTCTGTTGTCCTGCGTGCCCCGGGGGGACCTTTCCAAGCAGCAGCATCGTAGGGTGTTGGTCCTCCCAGGCACTGTTCCGTGCACAAGACTGCTTGTGGGGAACAGAAACTTCAGAAGGGTATTTCAGTACTAGCTCCCATCTAGGCCAGTGTTTTACTCCCAAGGAACTGTCTCCTACTGCACCAGCAGATTTCCATGCAGATGGCATACCACCAGCTTAGTTTCCCAGCAGGGGGTTGCTGGGGGTCCCAAAGAAGGTACAAGATTTTTACCAGATTCTCAGATTGGAGCAGAGAGCAAATCTAAGGAAACCATTTTCCTGATGTATCCACCAAGTTTAACTGCAGGTGAAACGCTATGGCACATGCTAAGTCCTCGGAAATAAGCATTTACAATGGAAAAATCACAAGCTGGACCTTTCTTTACAATGCTGAAATTTGCCTGCATTTTCTTCCTTTTTTTCCTCTTGCTCTCAGCTGGAAGCTAACTTCTGCTTACTGCTGAGCTCTGTGTGCTGAGCCTCTGTTTCAACAGAGCCTGGAAGTCTGCTGTCCAAGCGGAATTTCTGGGCTGAACCAGTGGGACACAGAAAGGCTCTGGTCCACAGCACACGGCAGCAGTGCATGGTTCCACACACAGAGCAAACCTGCTGATGCCAGCGTAATGCTGCTAGGTGTTTTGGCATGAGAAAGACCTGGCGGAATTGATGCATTCTGAGCAAGTACTGCATTCTCTCTTGATGCTTTTTATTTGTTTACTTTAAAAGACTGATTTGTATTAACACTGTTTTTCCCATCAAGACCCCTTTAGAATAGGTGGAGCCAAAATGTGTTGTGACTTGACTGTTATTTTTAATCCCTATTTACAGTGATGCCTTAAAAGCCTGAAACCAACATCTGTTTCCCTCTTGGATTAGTTTTCTTCCATAGAAGACATTTCCCCCCTTTTATTTTTTAACTACTTAAAGTCACCCCATTCTGTAATCAAGTGTTGAAAAGTCTCAAATCACTTAAATCGCATCAATCTTATCTGATGTATTGGGCACAGAATTTAACTTGTAGGGAGATAGGTGGCCTCTTAGTGCAACAAAGAGGAGGGAAAGAGGGAATCTTCACTCCTTTGCTCTCCAGTTACATGTCCTTGGAAAAATGTAATTACCCTCATTACCTTCAGCGTGTTTCTAACTCCTGTTGCTGTGCATTGTGCCAATTATTTGAATCAAATCACGTCCTTCAGGGATTCAGCTTGTCAGTACTGAAGGGTAAGAAAGAATTTACCCCTTTGTGCTTCCCTTATGTGCCTGGCTGTGCAGTCTTGCTCTGGTGTTCAGGTCACACTGACAGCCAGATCTGGGTGGAACTCCAATTTGTCCTAGGTCAGCTGAACAGTAACACGGGGTGATGCTTGTTTTCCTCTGCAGCACGGGGCAGGGACGGTACTGCTTGTTTGCTTGCTTGTTTAAAAAGAGGTACAGCTTATCTGATGTGCTGGTCCTTGAGAAGTGAAATAATACGTTGAGTATGAAAACACTTGGGCCAGATTAGTGCAAAGCAGCTGTTAACACTGTGTAATCCCAAAAGAGATTAAAAAAACCCCAAAACAAAACCAACACGACTCTTGACAGTTTTGCCTGGTGGATGTGATTTGACAAACACTGATGGGAAAAGGGGACAGAAAGGAAAAGGCATCGGTTTCCCCTTTTATGCGGGATTGGGGTAGCACGTTCCCCACATTCCCTCAGCCTGGTGGGAGCCACAGTAGGCCTGAAGACTGAGGTGTGCATGGGCTCGTAGCCAAGCGTACTGTGCCCCAAGCCTGGACCCCTTGCAGCGGGCCGGGGGTAGCACGGCCTCCGCCGCCGCTCTGAGAAGGGCATCGCCGCCTGTCCCCTGAGGGACTCGCGTTTCGGCTCCCCCGGCGGCGTGTGGCAGGTGCCCCCGGGGACCCCCTGCTACCTCCGCGGCCAGGCCGCCGGTCCAGGCTCAACCCCCTCAGCCTCCGTGTGCCGGGGCGGGCCCGGTCCGGCGGCACCGCCCCTCGCGCTGCCCTGCGGGGCGGGGGCGCGGAGAGCCCCCGGGGTGGCCCGGGCTGGGGCTGCGCTGCGCGCAGGCAGCGGCCGCCGGCGCGAACAAAGGCGGCGGCAGGCGGCGGTGGCGGCGCCGCGGCCCGTGCGAGGCAGCCCGCCCGCCCCTGCTTCCTGGGCCGGGCTGGGCGAGGCGGCCTCCACCCCGCCGGCGCGGAGCGCAGCGGAGCCGCTGCCGCCGCCACAGTAGCAGCAGCAGCAGTAGCAGCAGCAGCCGCGGCGGCGGTGGCGGGGCGCGCTCTCCGCAGGAGCTGCATGTGCGCGGGAGGAGCGGTGGAGGATGGCAGTGCTCAAGCTCGCCGACCAGGTGGGCGCCGCGCCGCGGGGCGGGCGGGAACGGGGCGGCGGGCTCTGCCTCAGCGCTGTGCGGGGCGGCCGAGCCGCCAGGGGAGGCCCTTCCCCTCAACGGGGTTTCGGCAGGGCCCGCAGCTGCCGTGGCCGTGTGATGCCGGCTGCTCGCTGCCCGCTGTAGACGCGCTTCTCGTCTCCTCCCGGCGGACATTGTCTGTGCCCCCGGGGCCGGGGGGCCGGGGCGGTCGCAGCCCGCCGGGAGTCGCGGCAGCCGCGTACTCGGTCGCCTGTGCCCCGGCGCGCAGCCGGGTGCCGCCGTCGGCCCGCGGTCTTTGGTGAAATCCTGACATCTCCCGTCGGCGGGGGGCAATTGAAGTGGACGTTGGTGCGTTTCGAAAGGCCTCTCGGCTCTGTTTGTCCTTCCTTGGGGTTTCTCCCTCGTTCTGTTGCTGTGCCATAGGTATACATTATTTTTCCCGTCGCCTTTTTACTTAAGAAGTGCCTGTTCTGTTTAGCTGTAGCCGTTGTTCACGGGCTACTAGGTAAACCTGTAGTATTAAACCCTTCGATCGTGTTAAATTTAGCAGTGGGCAGGCAGCTGTAATCAGTATTCGCATTGCTGGTAGTTAAAAGCGTTTAGAAATATTTAGTAAATTGATATTATGGATCCCACATCCTGATTTATCCACATACCCTACCAACTGTTACGCACTTTGCGTGCCTTAATCTGCTATATTTAATCTGAGGAGGTCTGCCTGCCATAGGCAGTGTGGGTGTCCTGCGAGCCCCAGACCTTCCTGCTGGGTTCAGAAGCCCCTCTCCAAATACCCCTTCCTTAGGGATCACAAACCTCCCTCACAGCCTGTGCATGCTTTTCTGTGGAAACCTGCCAAAGCTCCTATATAAGAACGTTTAAAAGAGTTTTGAAAGGAGAAAAGGATAAAGCCACTTCTAAAGTAAAAGCATCACTGTTTGACCGAGCACAGTCAATAATGCGTTTTTGTGTGTAACAGACGGCAGTGTTTATGGCATGCCTCCTGCCATATCTCTTGAACATCCTCATCTTTAGATGTGGTGCTTAAAACTGGCAAATAAAGTGTTTCACACCACGAGGCTTCACTACCCCGTGGTGCACAGACTGAGTCTTAAATAGGGAGATTCAGGTACAATCTGCATATTAAAAATCTAAGCTGCAAGCATTGATATTAAAAATACATAAGTTACAGAGCACCAAAATTGTACCGTTTCAGTGCTTTTCATGTGTTTAATGAATCCTGTGAATTTGCTGTCTTTAGAGTTATTAAACCTTTGCTGGCATCTTGTAGCAAGGATTTTGCTTCAGCAGCAGAAGTCGAAACAGATTTAAGTCAGGTGGACCACATCTTTATGAAGTCTGTAGTGCTATAAGGAATAACAGGCTGTTGTTCTTGTGTTCTCCTTTCTCTTCTCAGAAAGGCTGAGGGATGAGGCTCCTTCAGGCTGTCATTGCATCCCTGTAGCATGCCTACTTTGGGGATGCTCAGAATATTGGTGTGCAAATCTACTTCAGATGCAAGAGCACTATACCCAGGTTGGCCCACCTCTTGACTAAAAGTGACACAGTAACAGCAGCCCCATGTGTTTATAGGCAGACCCAGGCAAAACAGAGGTGAAGGTGAGATGAAGAATGATGTGACCGGGAAGATTTGCATTCCTGTAACATCTCAGCTTCGCTGAGGCTGTGGGAGCAGCCTTCTGAATTTCTTCCAGCTCTTGGGCATCACATTTGTGGCAGTGATAACTTGCAGTGATTCAGGGAACAGTTTCCTGTTGCTTATTAAACACCAGAGGCCACAGCAGCCTGTGTGCCTGCAGTCTCTTGCAATGGGAATTACAGGACGTAGGACACTGCATACCATAGTGGTTGGGACCTGGGCTTCTGTGAGTATGGGCTGCTTTTTATGCACTGTGTAGTCTGGTTCAGGTCTTAGTTGTGATGCTCAAGGGGAGATTGACTCCAAAACTTAAGAGATCTGCCTGTCATTGTGATTTCTGTAGCACATGATTTCCTCTGGATCCATGACTTTCTTGACCAGTGAGGAGAGCTTCATGTAGAAGACAAGAGAACCTCTATGCTGAGAGTTCAAATACGTTTCTCTAAGTAACCTCTTCCTCCTCACCTCCATTTTTGGCTTCTCTTACCTACTGCATCTGACAGCACGTGGAGCATTCAGACAGATGAGGAATTAATTACACAGTTTATTATACAGGCTCTGAAGACAGACTTTCATTATTACGTCTTTTTTGATATATCTGAAAGGTGTTAAGGAATTGGTATGTTTAATCTTTCAAAGATCCTATTGGTACTTTTGGCTGCATTCACTCCTTAGACAGGAGAGCTTAGTTTAAGTGTTTAGCATTAGTGTAGGTTTCTTAAATTTGCTTCCAGTAATGGTAATTGCTAGCTCATCAGTCGGGTCACAAGAAACCCTTAAATCATGTAACCACAGTAAGTGTATTCTACCGTCATTTGTTTCTGCATGAGTTTCTTTCAGGCCTTCTTTTTTCTAGTAACCCCCCGCTAGCCATGTTTGAATCACTAAATGCTAAGCTGAAAATAACCCGAGTTAGTTCATAAAACTTAAATTAAATGTCTAGAATTGTAACCTTTGTCTGTAGTGGCATGTCTGTGCAGTTGTAAACTTTCAGATATACTTAATATTTCGGTTGTCTTATACAAATACTGCAAAACTTACTCTACATCTTAAAATTTTTATCCGTTCCTTTTTTTTTTTTTGCCATCTCTGCAGTGGATGCTGATCGCAGCAAGCATGCAAATTGCTTTAAGAACTGAAAAAGAAAAGGTTGTTTTCAATTCTGTGTTGTTCCCCATTCAGTTTATTGGTTCTACCTGTTCCATTTTGATCAGTGTTAGTATTTTATATTATGTGAGGGTGCAGTTGCATGTGATGAAGGTCTTTGCATTCAAGCTAGAGTGCAGAAGGAACAGAAGAGGAGCACTTCAACAAGCTGGTGGCCAGAGGTTTGCAGGTTATGTGTCTCCAGAGTTGCACTGACATGGCTTGAGCCTGGCTCTGGTCATATTACAGGGCATGAAAACCCCTGCAGTGTCCCTCAGGTGCTGTTTTGGGGGATCCTGCTCACTGCAACTCGTTATTCCTTCCTGTATTTTGGGTTGCCATTCCCTCCTCCTTATGAGCCTTTCTCCTTCACCAAAGCTCCGTAAGTGTGAAAGTATCGATTGTTTTTTGACTTTTGTGGCTGCTTTTTGAGCAGTAGTCATTGCCTGGACCCACCTTTCTCCTGTCCTCTGAGTAGCCATCAGATTCAGGGTACTTCCTGCCACTGCTCTCCTTGCCCTCTGCCTGCAGTTCTTTGCGTGGCCTATTCTTCATGCTTGCACCGAGTAACTTGGTTTCCTGAGAACTGTTTGTTTGCCACTTGCAAACTTCTCAGGAGAAAGCCTGTTAGTCATAGTCTTGCTGAGTGTGCTTTTAATCTTCAGGGTTTCCATTGATGGTTCGAGGCAGCAGACACAGACAATTGCTCCTGTCAGCACTCTGTTCAGAGGCTAAAACAGCTTAAAATATTGCTGTGTGTAAAATTCTGCGAGTTACCTTTTGGAAAATTACTGTGGAAGTTTCTGTAGTGTCTCTGTCTCGTTTCCAGGCTTGCCCTGCCAGCTGAAGTCCTCCATGCAGCACTGCCAGTAGTGCCCACAGGCCTGCAGGTCGTCTCTGTAGCTAACTCCATCTTCTTCTCCCCATTTAAAGCCAGTGAAGTCGTGCTGTGTGTGGCTGTGTCTGATTTGGGATGCCAGCTCTCTGCCTCTGCAGACCACTTCGCCTTCACACACCTCAGCACAAACGTGCCCTTAGTGCCGTGTTGAAGGCAGCGAGGGTCGGAGTGGCTTGTGCATGGGGACATCCTGCTTCTTGGTGTGTGTCAGAGGCTGATGCAAGCTCTCCCCTGCCTAGCTGTTGATTATAGTTATTCATGTTTACAGGGGAAATGCATCATTCTGTCTTTGAAAGACACTGAGAATATTTTCTATGAACAAAAATAAAATGAGAAGTTACATAGAGGTGAAGCCTGCGTAGCTACTTTTGAGATGCACTGCTTAGTGGGTTTATGCCTGCACTGCCAGATTTGGTGTGAAGCTTGCTATAAATCAGAGACAAACACAGGCTCTGTCCAGCCATGAGCCAGTGCACCCGGGAGGTCAAATGTGCTGTGACTTCAGTGTCACCAGCTCAGGCCCTGTATGTACAAAACAAGAGAATTATTTTTAGGCTACCCCTACAAGCATGTATACACATGTATTATGGGTAATGAAGCCCAGATAAATGGTTAGTGTGTGCACTTAGGCTGCTATTAACTGCAAAACCTCATCCTGTCTCCTGGTATTTTGCCTGTTGTCCTTGATTGCTGAAAGTAATGCAGTGTGACTAGAACTGGAAGGAACATTTCCCTCCCTCCCTTTCCCAAATGTTTTCCTGTGTTTGACAGTTCTGTGCTGACCATCAGGATCCTTTATGTTATGATCACAGAGAAGCAGCATTAAACAGATGTTTAAATAATTTTAAACAGTTGTCAAAGATCATAAAAATCAACTGGGCAAAGGCTGGACTTGCATCTGAAGACCCTTGGAACCGAAATGAGTACAACAGTACCAAATAATCTCCTAACAAAACCAATCACATTTCCAAATGATGGTGTGTCTTTAACTTAATTCAGAATCATTCCATTGACAAGACTGGCTTTCTTTGTATCCTTCCTCTCTGACAAGTAGAAGCGTCTGAGAGATGCCCCTGAATCTGCTGTGTAAAATGGGAATCGTGAACCTGAGCCCTATGGCCACAGGTTAATTTTGCATGGAACAAGGTCCCATGATTCTTCCCCTACCTCATATTATTACTAGATAATAGTAAGGTGTGTGTTAATTTGCAGGCTGCCAGGTGCTTTTGAAAGGGCTCACAGCAAGGAAGAGATAATCCCATTTAGTACAAAATACTC